GACAAAATAAGATAAATTGTCACATTTTAAAGCTCTGAAGGTTGGCCAAAATATAGTCTAATTCTGCTAATCATTGCCAAAATTCAGCATTTTGAATAAATAGAAAATTAGCTACCAATCAGTATTATGTTAAAATTAGTTAAAATTTGATATAAATCAGCTTAAAATCGGTCAACATTCGGCTTAAAAATAGCCAAAAATCAATTAAGAAACTATTTATAAAATCAAAACTAATAAAATTCATTTTTGTTTATTTATTATTTATAATTTTATTTTATTATTATATAATAAATTACTTTAAAAGAATATATATTGCATTATATTTTATTCAACAAAGATACATTTGATTTTTTATAGATAAGAAAAATAAAGAAAACAGTTAAAAATTAACTAAAATCACTTCTCTTTAATGTATTTCTAAAAAGTAAGAAAACAGTTAAAAAATCACCAAAAATTATCTTTTGAAAGGCTATCATTTGTGTATTTTTAAAAAAATTTAAAGAAAATATAAAGAAAACAGTTAAAAAACTACTAAAATACAACCTTTGTAAGACTTATTTTAATGTATTCCTAAAGAAAGTAAAAAAAATAAAAAAAAACAGTTAAAAACTATTTAAAAATACCTTCTGAAAGGCTTACCTTAGTTTTGAAAAAGATTTTTAAAAAAGAAACATTTAAAAGTCATTTCTGAAAGTCTTATCTTAGTTTTGAAAAGAGAATATTTCTAAAAAAACAAAGAAAAATAAAGAAAAAAGAGTTAAATACTGTCTAAAAGTAACTTCTGATTTGCTTACCTTAATTTTAAAATAAGAATTTCCTAAAAAAAAAAGAAAGAAAAGAAGTAAATGTCTATTCAAAAAGTCATCTCATTAAAAAAAAAGGAAGAAAAAAATTTTTTCAAAATATTCTAAAAGTTTATTAGTTTTATATTATAAATTAAACTAATATTTCAATTAATCTGAAATTTAAATATTATTTATATTATTTATCATAAATGTTCCATGATTTTGTATCATCTAATTGCAAAATTAATGATTATTTAATTATTTTATAAGAATAATAACAAAAATTGTTCTTTCAGAATTATAATTTAATCATTGATTAAGAATAATATAGAAAATCATTCTAAAGGAATGATAATTTAATAGTTCCTTAAGAATAATATAAAAATTATTCTAAAAGAATGATAGTTTGATCATTTCTTAAGAACCATATAAAAAATAAGAATAATAATAAAATCATTTCTTAAGAATAATAATAAAATCATTCTTTTAAATGATAATAAATAATATTATTCTTTCAAATAATGATATATTATTCCAAAATAAGTGTAAAAAATCATTCATTCAAAATAATAAAAAATATTATTCTTATTGAATGATGATGTATCATTCTAAAAAAATGATAAAAAAATAATTATACTTTCAGAATGATGATATATCTTTACAAAAGAATAATAAAAAAATAATTGTTTTTTCAGAATAATGATATATTATTCTAAAAAGAACAATAAAAAATATTTTTTTCAGAATGATAATGAATTAGTTTTAATAGAATAATACCCTTTCAGAATAATGATGTATCATTTTAATAGAATGATGTAAAATATTGTTCTTTCAAAATAATAATTAAATTGTTTTTCAGAATGATGATATATCATTTCTTTAAGAATGATTTCTATCATCTTTTTGAAAATAATGATGTATTATTCCTTCAGAAATAATTTCTATCATCTCTTTAGAAATAATTATTCATTCCTTTAGAGATGATTTCTATTGTCTCTTTAAAAATGATTATTTGTTTTTTTAAGAATAATTTCTATTATCTTTTTAGAGATGATTGTTCATTTTTTTGGAGATGAATTTATAATTTATTTAGAATAATTTTTATTGTCTTTTTAGAGATAATTGTATTATTTCTTTTAGGATGATTTCTATCATTTTTTTGAAACGATTACTTTTGAAATATTTTTATAATTTTTACAAAAATTGGCTTAACAGATTTCTACCAGTAAGATACAGTCGATTTGTTATCAAATTTTGAGTCTAACTGAAATTTTGCTGAATATTATAAGTAAAAGATATTAATAATAAAATAATACTAAATTATGTGTGATGTAACAAATGACTGTCGATTTTTATAATTAAGCTGAATTTTGCTAAATCATATGAACAAATTAGCTGAATATTTACTAAAAGGTATTACAGCTAATTTCATAATTCGAGGACCACTAATAAATTGCGTCTGAATGCGACTGAAAATATTTTATAATAAAATTACTATAAAATATTGCGACTGAATGTGACTGAAAAATTATTAATGGTCCATAAATTATGAAATTAGCTGTAATACCAAAATAAATTATTTTGACTAGTGTCTGGATTGAATGAAAATTAAAGATAAGTAATATTTATATTTTTAAAAATATTAAAAAAAATTAATAATTACTTACCTCTCTTTATAGGTTGCTAAAATCTCCTAAAATCCTAGAATCCTATATTGAATGAAAATCAGAAGTAATTAATATTTTTTTTAAAAAATTATTAAAAAAAATTAATATATTTATTTATCTTTCTTTGTAGATGACCGAAACTTTTTAAAATCCTAGAATTTTTAAATTAAATGAGAATTAAAGGTAAGTAAAAGTTTTTTTTTTTAAAAAAATATTAAAATAAAAAAAAATTTAATATTCACAGAACTTTTTTCTAAACTAAAAACCTAATTCAAGTTTGATGTTTTATTTTTACCTAATTTATTGATTTACTTCATTTATTTTATTATAATTTAAAAGAATCCTTTATTTTTAAAACATGTATGTAAATTGTTTGTTTTAATATAGAATGAATAGATTAATTTTGATTAAAAAAAAATCTAAATTTATATTAATTATTATTTATATAAAAGATTTTTTTGATCTATAAAATTAAATTTCTTAAAAAAGCTACTTTGTAATTATTAGATTTAACATGACTCGAAAGTGCTACAGAAGACAATTTTATTCTAATGATATTAAAAAGCTATAAGTTTATTGCAATTGCGAAAATATATGAATATGATATACTAGTATATCATATATACAGTATATCTCTTATATATATGTATATTGAATATGCATATACAGTAACGATCATAAATTATGTAACAAAAAAATAATTTTCATTAAAACGAAATATTTCTTGTTATTACGGAAATAAATAAATTTTTTTTTGTTATTTTTATTATTAATATTATAATTTTCTAATACTAAAATTTAGAATTTAATTAATAAATAAATTATTTTATAAAGTATATAATTATTCAGATAATGCTGTTGTATTATTTATTTTCATTTTTAACACAACTCAAATAACAATTAAAACATCTGAAATTAATACATCAGAACATTATTCTTTTTTAAAATATATATTAAATTTGATACAATTACCACCTTGTATACTCTTCCCGAGCCTTAATAACATCATGAATCCTTTCTGGCATAGACCGAATTAGATTAGTACAAGTTTCAACATCGAATTCTTTCCAAACTTGCTGTATCTTATTCCATAAGTCAACTTTACTTGAAATTTGTCTAGGAAGATGTCTAAGCTGACGGTCAACCTCGTTCCATAAATGTTCAATGGGATTCAGATTTGGGGATTGGGGTGGCCAATCTAGGACTGTCACCTTGTTTCTCTTAAGCCACTGTTTTGTTGAATTTGCTTTGTGCTTTGGATCTACATTATGTTGAAAAATAATGTCTTTAACAGTAAAATCATGTGCCCTGATAGTACCCATTAAATCCTTATGAAGAATTTGTTATATAAGTTAGCATTCATGATGCCATCAATCTTACAATAATCACTAACATCACGAGATGTAAAACATCCCCATATCATAACTGACCTGCCTCCAAATTTTACTATAGGTTGAATATAGTGGTTTTTTATTAGTTCTCTAGGACGCTTCCAGTAATACTGCTTCCCATCAGAACTAAAAATTTTGAATTTTGATTCATCAGACTATATTACCTTTAACCAGTTTTCAACAGTCCAATTTTCATACTTTTTTGCAAAATTATATCGAGATTTTTTATGTCTTTTACTAAGGTATAGCATTTTTCTTTTAACCCTTGCTACTAACCCATTATTTCGAAGTACGCGACGAATAGTAGGTGTTGAAAAGTCAAGATTTTCTTTTTCTTGTAGTTGGTTTCGTACTTCAACAGCTGATGAACACCTCTGAGAAGTAATAAGGTTAACAATCCTTCTTTGTGTAAGTTCATTTACAATAGTTGGACGACCTGTTCTTGCTAAGTCTTCAAGAGAGTGGGTATCAAGCCATCTTTTTCTAATATGAGAAACTGTAGAAGGTGAAATTTTTTGAGCCTTTGCTACTTTTCTTGTTGTGTATCCATTTTGTAATGAAAGGAGAATTTGTGTCCTTTCATTAGAAGTTGTGTGACGCTTTTTTGCTGCCACTTGTTTATTAAGTAGTTGTGAGATATCACGGGATCAAACAATAAATAGATAAAAATACCTTTTATACAAATTTTTATATTGCACAATAATGATCATCTGATTCATGTTAAAAACAATCAAAAGTAATGTAACGTGTGATTTATACAAATTGCATATTATTTTATAACCGGAAGTATTAATGAATATTAAAAATTTTAATACTGAAAATTAATAGTATTAACAAATAAAATTTTATTAAAGAGGGCGGGATATCTCTAGAATTGAAAGAAATATTTAAATTTAAAAGATTTTATTTTTTTGTTGCATTATTTATGATCGCCATTGTATGTATATTTATTATACAATGCAGATAAATTATTCGTATCACAAATTTCATAATACAAAACATTTATTTATTAATTCATGTCAATCTGTATAATAATATCTCAATTAAGCGAAAAAGTGAGTAAATGATAGAGGTGATGAAATTTGGGTTGAAAATTTGGAAAGTTTAATTAACAGAAAAAATGAATCTATATCAAGCATCGAACTAGAAGAAAGAAAATGGCATTATTAGAATGTCAAGTAAAGCTTAGTAAAGAAATAGCAGAGGTGGAAGAAATGAAATTAAATATATACAATTAAAAATTAATGCAAAAATGTTTTTATCATTTGTAATTTGTATTTATATTATTATTATTGCAATACAATAAAATATAAGAAAAAAGAGTTTGCAAATAAATTAAAGAAATTAAATAAAGGTATTATTATTAAATAAAGCTAATAAATGAATGAAAATGACATTTTAAATTTATTATATTCACGTTTTTTTATTGTTACACATCTTTGAGTATATAGTCTAATTATAAAATAAAGGATTATTTGTACAAAATTTGAATATATATGAAAAGAAATATGTACGAAAAGTAAACATGTATGAAAAGGAAACGTATATGAAAAAATAAAAGTTTCATACATACTAGTACGAAATTTATTAGAATTTCAAAACTTACGTACTAACTTGTATCATTGTATTATACAACTTTACTTGATATTTTTTGCTTCATTCTGGACAATTAAACTCACGTTATAGAAATCGTAGCAGATTGGTATTGCTTGTTTGTATGTAACCATGTAAGATATAGTTAAGCCACATTTACTAAAAAAATATGGTGGTGGTTGAAATGAACATGCCTCGTATAGGATATCTTTAATATCAATAATATAATCTAGCTTCTTTTTTACTTCAGTCAAAATGAAATAATATAAATACGTTTTAAAGATACGTGAACAAAATTCATCAATTATTATAATTATAGATGTAATATAATAATAATAGAAGTATCCGCTGGTCAACCCTCAAAGAAAGGGTATTTGACTATAAGTCCTGATGGATAATACAGTTGACGACATAAATATCATGACATATAAAAGTATCGCAAACTTTATTTTTTTTATTTCAAATTTATAATATCAATAAATTATCATATAAAAAAACATATTAAAGAATTAATAATTTATCATATACCTTTTTTTCTATAACCATACTAATCTGATCTGACATACTATCTGCTAAATTCAAGAAAATGTTTTGATTGAGATTTTCCTATTCCTTCTGAATTATGCTTTGGAAAGTATTTTTTTCTCTAATCCAATTATTAACCTTTTTTTTCACTTTTCCTTTAAGAATCACCCACAAATTCTTAATTGAATTTAAATCAGAAGAGTTAGCAGACTAATCAATCACTGAAATTCTATTCGTAATAAAAAATTGATGGGTAAGCTTTGCGATATAGGTTAGTGCATTATTCTATTGAAAATCCATCTATTGTCAGCATGATTAGTATTAAAAGCAATTGGGATCGAAGAATTTCCTGATATTTCTCAGCATTTATATTTTCTGCAAATAATGCTACACCAATTGGTTCTTACCAGCTGAAAGCACTTCAAACATAAATTTTATATGGATTTTTTACCATAGAACGTGATGGATGCAGATTATTAATTTTATAACGTACAAGTTGGATATTGCAAAATGTTTGAAAAGTACTTTTATCAGAAAATTTGTATAATATCAATTATCTTGGTTATATTTTATGGCTCATTGAAAACGAGCTTCAATATGATTTGGCTTAAGAAGTGGTACTGCTTGTGATCGATAAATAATATAATTAAGTTTATTTTAAGGATCTTTGGACAGTTCGAGTTGATACGTTAAGTTCTGGATATGTTAAATTCAGCTTTTTTGTTATTAAAGCTGAAGTTGTTGCATTATTAACTTGGAGAAGACACCTAAGATATCAACGTTTATTGGAGATGAGAAGAAGAGGATGACCAGGACTAGGTAAATGCTCAACATTTCCCATTTCTTTTAAACGGTTGACAATATCATATACTGTAGACTTTAGATACCCAGTTATTTTAATTATTTCGTAGGACTTTCATATATTTTTAATACATAGTTCCTTTGCAGTTGGCTGTCTTGTCTTAAACTCTGAAGTGAATGCCATTTATTATATGTTACTACTGATAAACAATTACGCAAAAAATTTGGCATTTATATTTACGTTTAAAAATAGCTAAAGAATTGCTATTTTAATTTTTATTTCTGTTAGACAGAAATTGGTGTAATGATACTTTTTTTTTGTATTCTTAATAAAAACTCTGGATATTACTGTATGTTCTCCATTTAACAGCAGTAAGTATTGATATAATTTTTATTGTAAATAAAGGAGTATATACACATACACACATAGATACGTTTACAATTAAAATATTAAAATGGAAAACAAAGATAAATTGCTCATCGAGAAACCATTGACAATTGACAAGAATAATTTTCCGAATCATAAATGTACGACAGATAATTATTCTGAATTTCCCATATTTAAAATAGCGATATCAAACATTTTTAAGGAATTTATTTTCATTGTGATATTTTTTGTGATTAAAAATGATATATTAGCTAACGATAATAATGAAACATATGACAAATGGTCAATTATCGCACAAATAAAGATATGAGTGATCATTCTTTCCATTATGAATTGGAATGGTTAATTTTGTTCAATCTACAGTTGCTTTTATGAAATATATAATAAAATAAACATCTTTATCAGAATTTTTATAATTAGTTATTATATTATTTTATTATTTGTAATTTTATTAGTTTTATATATGTTCTCTATATGTTGAAATTCTCTTTCTTGTAAATCAACTAAAATTGCTATATATTTAATTGATTTATTATTGGATAGCTTTTTTGTCGATCGTACTTATTATAGAAATGATGATCAATTTTTTCAACCAATTAGAAGAATGAGATGTAACGTCTAAATTATCCATTTTTGATTTTTGCATTTTAATGATCTCAAATTTTTTTACTATGGTTATAACTAATTTATAGCTGGATCCTTCACTCAAACACCCAAGTCGAACGATATTTCGACTTCATAATAATTCTCAACCGTGTCGTTTCTCTGATAATTGCGATTAATATATCTTTTTTTATATCGTCATCTAAAACGGTAAAAGTTTATTCCAGAATTTAATTCTACTTTTTCTTTATATCATGAATATCAATATTCAAAATTATCACCATAGTAAACTTTTCAAATTGTTCTCAACCATACATTCCACCCTTCGTATCCCAAATATTATTTTCAATTTCGTCGATAAATTGTCGGAGTCAAATTCGAAATTGTCTCCTTAATAGTATAAGCGTTATTGTGTCCACTCAAAATGTGTGGTGTTACTGGAGATACTAATGCATATCTCTCTTCACCGCTTAGTAATCCCTACTATTATATTTATCAGTTATCAAGTAAAGCTTATGTCATAGGGGCAAATACTTCATTAGGTGTTATTGGTAAAGGTAACTGTTTATGGTATCAATTGATTATACTAATTTATATGTAATGACGTTTATACTTAATAATAAATTATTATTATTACATTTTTATTGACAAGACCTCTCTTGCTTTACTACTAAGTTCGGTGTATCTTCTATTGCTTTTAAGAAGATATTTTGGTATATTCAAATCGATCAAATCATTTGAATCGAGTTTTGGAATATGAGGAATTGAATATTCTTACTACTTTAATAATATATCGATATGGCTTTACAGAAAAGATTTCAAGTATAAATAGATTTTATATTATTTAAAATAGTTGATGATGACATTCAAAGTATTACATATTATAGATCGTAAACTACACTACGTAAATTGCTTCATCCTTTATAAACATGACATGATAAACTATTTAATTTGTAAAGTACTTTGGCATTAATATTGTGTAATTATTAACTATTTAAATACTTTATTTGTAAAATTGAATAAATGTTATAGACTTTAAACAATACAAAGTACTTCTTCTGTAATGATATAAATGATGCTGCAACAATTGTATTGCAAACTCATAGCGCAATAAATTTATTAATATTGCAATTAAGCTACAATCTAATAAAATAAAGAAACTGTATATTTCTATAATATTATATAACGTTTAATAACTTTGTAAATCATTTATGTGTAGTATTTTGTGTAAAGTATTACGTAAATATTATAGACTGTAAAATTCACAATATTTTATAAAAAATCTTATTTTTTAATTTAATATTATTTTTAATTATTTTTTTTATATATTTGAAAGGTTATTATATCAGAACAATATTAGGAGACTTTCACAATATACAGCCCGTGAACAAAAATGTTGGTCAAGAATTATATTATTAATTGCGAATTTCTAAAAAATATTTTTTTGATGGGTGTATAACATCAAATCACGAGCAGAGGAGGGAGGGAAAAATCGTAAATGGGAGGTGGTTTGGAGAAATTGGTCTAGGAGCTAATTTTTAAGGTAATAGTCCATTAAAATCATTATTGCATCGTTGAACGGCATATCATCCCAAGCTTTCCGTTCCGTTTCAATTCATAGACTTTATGGCGTATTACTCTGTAGAGAGGCGCCCAGTCTTTTCCCTAACGAACCTCCTCAGAGAGCTGAACCTTGTCACTTTTAATATCAAGTAATGCGAAAATATCAATATAAAATAAATCTCATTATATCTAGTTCACCTAGTTCACAGTAATTTTTTTTTTAAGAAAATTTGTTTTATATTTATTGTGTCGTGAATATCTGCAGAAGCATTTATCCATTTATTTATTATAATTGTTGGATTCGCACATACAATGTAAGTTTTTTTTTTATATTATTTTTAACTAATAACTTATAAAACAAACAAATATTGTTACATGTTAGGTTTGTTTTATTTAAAAATCCACATGTTGAAAAAAAAGATTCATTTAATGGAACTATTACAAATCCATTGATAAACGAAACACTTAATCTTGTATAATCCATTTTCCACTTTTCCCACTTTATTAGTAGCTACATATTTTTGGATTGATGGTAATTTTGTTCAAATGGATAAATATTTACTATTATTGCTAGCAATTATGGGGTAAGATTTATTAATTACTCCTCATACGTTCCTAGTTGTAATTCTATTTAAGGTCTCTTTTTAATCTTCCATCTTTGTTCGTTCAGTCATGTTTATGAAGATGCAACAGCTAAATGTAAACAAGCTATATTAAAATATATAGTAATACAAATATCAGATTATTATGATTTAGAACATCACTTTGATTTTTAGCGCCAAGTTCCGGTATTTGTTCTTTCTAAAAAACGTATTAGAAATTTTAAAAATGCTGTCTATCTTGAAAAACATATGGGTTGTGATCTAAGAAAATCAAAGTTCTGAGAAATTTTTGACTAAAATTAATATCTTATTACATTTTAGTCTAAATGTAATAAAAATTAAAATGCAATTAAAATCTCAATTTTGATAAAAAATTCTTAGAACTTAATTTTCTTAGATCAAAACCCATATGTATACTGTGACAATTGATAATATAAACAATCCCAATCTGTCTCGATCATAAATTAAATTACGAACACAGGATAATATGCAAATTATTTTGGATCATAATATTTGTCATGAATATTCTATTCATCTAATACGAAATATTTTTTGGAAATTTCAGTAAGTAATCATATTTTTATATGTAATTTTATTAATATAAACTAATAAATTCATTTAAACTTTTATAGTAGACTTAATATCTATAATGCTGCTATACCTGATTGCATGCATCATTACAATTTAGGCTTATTTAATTATCAAGTTAATTTTGCTAGGAATTATATTTAATTATATTGTGAACAAAATGGCATTGATGAATTTGATAAATGTTTAGCATTAATTCCATGTTTTCCCAATCTTAAACTGTTTAAAAATGGTCTTAAAAATATTGCAAGGTTTATTGTTGCAGAGTTTCAGAGTATGATGAAGCAACTTGTTTTTGTTATCAATAACTTAATTGTTTTGAAACGTAAATCAACATTAGAATCTAATTTAATGAAACAATATAATAGCAAACTTGTTTATTTATTTATATTGTGGAATAGGATATATATTTTTAGTTATAAAGAATCTTTTACAGATTCTGAACTTAATGAATTTCAGGTAAATTTATGATTTACAACTATTTAATTATAATATTTATACTAATTAGTGAATTCTAATGTTTTAGAAAATGATCACAGATTGGACAAAAGAATTTATTACCTTATTTATGCCAATTATAAACACTGAAATAAATATTCAAAGTTGCATAATTGGCATTATCATATTATTAATACTATACAAAAATATGGTGCAATTACTAAAACTTATGAATTGCTACACAAATCATGTATCAAAACTCTGTACAGGATGAGCAATCATCGAAATGCAACTTCATAAATAATCAATACAGTATTATATATTATTTTTATAAAATTTATCATATTTTTTTATTAATAATAGTTGTTTAAATAATTATTTAGGTACGATATGATAGTATTTTAAATATTATTATCAAATAACTTCTTCACCTACAGTTAAAAAATAACATCAAACTTCGACACTATGTGGTATTGAAGGCAATTTTACATTGTCTAATTTTAATAGCTTCATTGATACATATAAAACTTCACATCATTTAGCTTCAGAAGCTGAATTAGCATTAATATGTTAATTGATTTATTAAACAAGTATTTTGATTGTATTAAAGATATTACAGATGAAAATGTTAAAGAAACTCTTATCAAATGATATACCAACACATTTATTGGAAAAACTGATACTATACGAGCTAAAAGTAATTATTATGATACACCATCTTTTAGTAATGTAGTAATTAACATAGATGAAGAAAAAGCTGAAAATTACAACATGTTTAATGAAACATGTTTTGCTAAGGTAAATTAAAATTTATTGATTTTTAATATTTATAATGAGTAACTAATCTCAAAATTATATTTTAATATAATGAAAGCTTTTAATGCTATTTACTTTAAAAATTTCTGGTCATGAAGTATAAAAATTAGCATTAGTTCACTGATATGATTTTAAATACAATAATCTACAATGACTATTTAAATATAATTGCCCTCTTATAAAAGCTATTCTGATGTTTACAATTATAGCTAAAGATAGGCACCATAATTAAGAAGTTGCAACTTGGTTGCAACTCCTTGTAAATTTATTTTAATATAAAAATTCATAAATAGTTGCAATTTAAGTTGCAACTAGTTAAAATTTTTAAAAATAATTATGGGAACCATCTTTAATTACGCAGAATGATATTATAATATCAAATTAAGGAAATACCTATAGCCATGTAAACACAGGTTTAATCAGATGCATTATTTTCTTAGACACACAGGGGTGAATCTTAGTTCTGGTTTATGAAGAAAAAAATATAGCATTCATGTGTATTGTTAATTGTATACAGGCCACATATAGTTAATAATTACATGAAATATGCTAACGGACAGTGATTGTACATTTTCCATGTCCCAAGCATTTGCTGTTCCAGCTATATATCCCAACTATATGTCCCAACTATGTCCCATATATGTCCCAAATGTTCCATCTCTCCCATCAGTGTCCCATCAGTGTTCTAACTATATCCCATAACAATACTGCTGACGGGTGTATACACATGAATCTAATATCAAAAGTTTAACTACATTAGTACTAATATAAGACTTCTGCACTAGATTGATGATGCATATGAAGTTGTAAATAGTCTTCAAAGTATTAAAAAACCAAAACAAGAACAATCACTCACTAAAAATAAAATTGAGACGAACTTGTGTGTGTTAAAAACTAATCTTAAAAATAGCAAGGCTCCATATACTCACCACTTTCATAAATATTTAAAGAAGAAAAATGCTTCAGACTTATCATGACGCATTTCACTTATTAGTCAAGTAATTTGTGCAGATTCAGAAATGGTGAGAACTTTGGAAGTAGAAGCAAATAACTTTTTTATGGTGAATAATTTAACAAATAGTGTTTTGTATTGCCATAATTCACTTTCAGCAAAGAGTATTATATTAATATTGTAATCCTATAGGATCCCAACAGAATGTATAAAAGTAACTGCTTCAGAACTTGTCAAAGATAATTGTGATTCCTTCATTTTGAATTTTATAGACAGTATTACAGATGTCCCAAATAATAGACTTTTACATGATAAAAATTGGAAAGAATCTAATGAAAAACTAGCAAAAGTTACGTTAGGTATACTCAATATCTTATGAGTATTTTAGTAATAAGAGACTTAACATAATCATATTTGGTATTTCTTAAAAATTTTTATTTAACACTATTCTTTATTAGAAGAAATATTTGGAAAAATCTCACCTTCAGTTCAAAGCTGGTTAAGTCACAAAGTGAAGAGACATATATGACTGATGTAATAGTTCCAATAATTTAAGCATCATTAAAAGATCTTCCAATTGGGAAATCTGGTTATATTTCCACAGCTAAGCGTCAAAGTATAGTCAGCAAAGACAGAAGAGGAGTTGGAAAATGACCAGATGTTATATTTATTACTAGTTGTAATAATAGGTCATATAAATTAATTTATGATGAAAGTTCTCGTATCATTTGTGACGAATAAAAAAAGAAAAATGATAAGGTAAAAACTTGGAGAGAGATGAACGATAGAATTTATTGGACTCACAAAGGATACAAACCAGACAAAGATGATTTTGGTATTATTGGAATCCAAATCGCCAGAATTGAGATGCAATTAAATATCCTAATTCGATATATGGATGAAATACATCATTTCTATAATTTGCATATAGTTGAAATTCCAATACAGCCAACAGATGGGAATACAGCAGTGTATAAAATCTAAGTTAAAATTTATGTGCATAAATTGATTAATTATTACTAAAAATAAGAAATCATAACATTTTCTTATGTAAAATTACTTTTTTTATACATAATTTATCTATTTTTAGTAATAATTTGTGCACAATTTATGTTGTGTAATATATACACACAAAAAATTAATGTGCACATGTGCACATTATGCACATAGATTTTACACACTGGAATATGGTATTTGAATTTGTTGAAACTTTATTGACAATTCGGATATGTAGAATACAATTCTTGTATTTCACTCACCTTTTCTTTGGTCATAGACCTGCAGGAGATAATCTATCCTCTCCTTTGATCAAAGATCTTCAGGAAAAAAGCTTTCCAATTATTTTATATATTAACTTTAAAAAAATATTTCACTAAATATATACTTATAATTATAGAATATCTTGCACGTCAATATATCTTTTCTATATTATGCATTTCCAATTAGTTCAAGTAGTAATACAGAAAATAGCTTCACAGTTTCTTCTCTACTAAGATCATCATCACCACTAAAATAAAAAAAAGAAAGTCTATAAAATTCGAAAAAAAATAATCTAATTGTTATTTGTATTACTATATTAATAAAGTGACCCTTGCAGTCGATTTTGCAAATATATATTCATATTTTTTTGTGTGTGACATATATCAGATAATAAAATTTTCTTGGCAAAAGTGATCTGTGTTCTAAATTGAAACAGATACAATCACGTGAATTTTTCTAGCTGATCTGCCAGATGTGTCATGAAACTAACGTGTGAATTTATTGCTATATCCTAATGGATATATTTTTTGCGTTCAAACTTTTTTTCACAAAATTATATCTAATAAAATATTCCATTTTGACTATAAACATATTATCAATAGATTACCTAAAAGTTTTGTCAAGAAAGCGTGCAAGTGATTCTTATACCATTCTAAAGATTCTATTCTATTAGAATCTATTTCTGAAAAATTCAAACAAATTGAACCTTATTTGATGCATACATTAGAGATTTATGAGAATTCATTAAATAGGAAATGCAAAAATATGACTCAGAAAAAATTACTACATACTCGAAGTTGGCCAGAATGTGATATATTTCTAGCATTACTATATGTATATGTTTTAAATGGTGAGGTTCAAACTGATGGTATCTCTTATAATTTCGAGGAAGAAAATAACTACTGAGTTATGAATGAACTTAAAGTCTTATCTTAACATCTGCTTGACTATAATAGAAAGATTTTTGGGAAAATGATACAAGACATAGATAATGATTATAGAGAAAGGATTAGTGCAAATAAAATATTTTGCTACAAGATCGAGTATTTGAAGATACAGGTACAAGAGGCAGAAAAAAAGCTGGCATCTGTTAAATTAGATTCTACTCACTAGCTTAGAC